AGAGTACAGTATACGGCTCTACTTGTAAAACGATCTGTACTTTTCAATTATATTTTAAAATCTTACTATGTGTTTTGATTGCTTAATAAATGTACAAATACGTATATACCTACTATTTTAATACATTTTAAATTATTTATTTGCTTAAAATAATTTTTCAATATTTTTAATTTAGATCCAAAGATCATTTTGATTTTTAAAGTAACTTTAGTTTCTTTTGACTATGTTAAGTCAGAATATGTGGTCTTAAAAATTTCTTCGGGAAAAAGTGAACAAGGAACAGTTACATAAATACCTTAAATTTGTTTTAAGTTTATATTACTTAACTATTATTACTACGTTTCGAACAATAGACATCACCGACCGTCTCAGTTATATTTGTAAGACGTAAGTGTTGGCACACCGAACTACGTCAGTGTTTTCACTCTTATGTAAGCTTTTATTTCATGACCCGAATATGTACTGCAACCTCGTAAAAAAATATAATTTTTGGTCTTTTAACTGTATTTACGGTGATTTACAGGCTTTTTATTTAGGTTCACTTATCCTGGTGTGTGTAATGGAATCTTGTAAGTTAGTGGGTTACCTGTGTAGATAAACAAGAAACAAAATGTTAAAAATAATGTTTTTTTTTTATAAAATAAGGAAATCTCGCGACAAGCTTTTTTTACATCATACAAAATTGCGTAATGTAATAAATGATGGGTTTGATTTAATTTAAAGTTTATTTTCTTCTTTTTGGAACATTTAAATAAAATCTTGTCTTTAAAAATGTTTTTTTACTATTTTTTTTTAGTATTAACAATTTTATTCGCTACCAATAGAAAGCTTTATACTAAAAGCTATGTATGTAATAAGAGTTTCATTTTGTATTTTTCATATAGAATAAGCTGAAAAATATGGACACAAATGACAGAATCTGTAACACTACTTTTGTACTCTTGCCAAAAAAGAAAAGCGCATTGCCTTAGTTTCTAAATCGATTTACAAAATTGTTATTACGTTTTATAAACGATACATATAAAACCTCATTATTATTACTTTTATTCATTTGTTATTATAAAATATTTTTTGGCAAACATAACAAACCCTGGCCACCTAATGTTATGTAAACAGTAAGCAATGTTAGTACCAAACGCTTAGGACGAGCTTACAAGTTACTACAGTGCATAGTTGAGTTTCTCGTGCTTAACGTTAATTATTCCTAAGGTACTGTATAGATGTGAGCATTCTATACATATAAAACTTCTAGCAGCATTTCCTCGTACAATCAATCTATTTATGTTTGAGACTAATACTCCGTACGCAAAAAATGTGTACTAAAAAGGTACTTACTTAAATATCAGTTAAAAGTAATTATTTCACCTTTAAGGAGTCTGCCCACTACACCGTCTCATACCATGACCGTGCTAAGACCGTGTCAAAATTTAAATTTTTCACCTTACGCCCATGTGATGGTTGCGAAACGGCCAAGCCATATATTTTGACTAAGATGTAAAGTTTGTGAAGTTAGGGCTCGTAGAGTAAGTGAGAGTAAGGTGAACTGTAAGAGAGTTCTCATGTGAAGGAAGAAAACCTAAAAAGAAGAAAATTACTAAAAGTGAAGTAAAGAGAATGATATATCAGTTTAGACAATACGAATTAATCCGTCGAAACTCTTATTAGAGCAAAGTTTCAGTCAGCCAAATTGAATCTACTCTTCCTATCAACAAGTCTAGTGAGGTATTTGCATAGGTACGCTTAATTCAATTAACTCACTTCAAGAAAATCGATACGTAATGCTTTTGGGCACAACTTAATGAAGAGGCACTATTCATTCTAAGTTGCCGGAACATTCATAATATACTCGAAATTTGTTTTATTTGCTATTATTTTCACTTAGATTTTTCATGGAAGTTTAATAAAATAAAAATAAAAAAGCCTTTATTTCATCAAGCTACAATTCATCTAAGTTAATAAATACTAAATTAATTTCTTACTAAATGCTAGGTATACGTATTTAAATTTCTCTTTCTTTTAATAGTAAATTATACTAAATGACTTATTTCTAGTTATTTTTTTAATATGCATTAATCAAGTTAAGCAAGCATAAATTTAAGTAACAATAGGCACACTTATTACATATTCTACTTCTATTTATATATGTAGAGAAAACCACTTCATATACGAGTGCTTTCCTTAAGTATATATTTACTATAGGTATATTAGAGCTACTCGTACAATGGACCATAACTGGTCGACGTAGCTAGGGCCGACCTCGGCACCACACCCAACACAACAAATAATAATAATATAGGTATATTAAATACTCTTTGATCAATTCCAAATTACAATTTATATTTCTAAACTTTGACATTTGAGATGTGTAATTATATAATTTTCTATAATTTTATATATAGAGATACTTAAAATAGAGACTTTACATTGTTTCTATTATATTTACAGAAACGCAATTAAGTCTTTATTTTTAAATAAGCGAATAATACCATTATATATATGTACTACAAATGGATCAAAATCTCTATGTTAGCTAATAATAATGTATAACAAATATTGTCTGTCAGTCCCATCGGGATGTTACGTTTGTTAATTGTATAAATATTAATTTTTTTATAGAACTGTGTGAATTCTACAAAATATTAATATATAAATTAGAGATCGCCTCTTAAAAACCTTTATTTGATACCTCATTCTATTCATACATATTTTTTTTCTGCCCAGCCTGGGCAGAGAATAAGTTGCAGACACAAATCGGTGCCTGGCATCCGACGTTTTGATTTTTAATAATATTCATATAACCTATAACATTCACGTTATCAAGACGAATCTAACGACGAAAGACGAATCATCCAAATAGGTTAAGCAGTTTAGTAATTACGAGGGAACATAGGATCGGACATAAATACATAATATGTACACAGCCCTGCTTTGAACTTCGCCGCAGTCGGGTAAAAAATAGCTTGCTTTTATTATTTTCCTACTTTATGTTATAAATTTTATTCATATTATAGGTACTTCTTAGACTTTGATCGTGTCAACGTGGCTTTAATATAATACGAATTCAAAGTCAGCATCAAAGCTTCAAAACCATTGTCTCTCTCATCAGGAAAAAAAGGAAGAAAGAAAAATTATTCCAAACAAATATTTTGATTTGTTAACCCAACAGCTTTAAGATAAAAGACATCTTTTGTCTTCTTAGATAAAGAAATATCCGCATTTAGGACCGTTGAAAAATAAAAACGAAATTACACGTTTTGGCTCAGTTATTAATAATGTTCAACGTTCTATAACTAATTTATATTACAGTTAAAATCAAATATAACTGACTAAACAAACTAATTTATGTTTGTGAAATATCTAAATATAATATTACTTTGAGTGTGTTTTACGTAATAAATACTTTTAACACTAACTTCTTTCCCATTTAATATATTCCGATACGATTACTGAGAACAAGCTGCCAACTGTCGCCATTGCAGTCACTAATTAAAATATTTAAATGATAAATTTTGGTGCTGTATCTAAAATGCTAGTTTTAAGTTGACTTTGTTCACAGTTTTAAGTGTTCGTTAGATGAATGTAAAGCTTTTATATTTCAACTTTAGCAATTGAAAGCTCGTTTATATAAAGAGTTGAGCTTTAATATTTCAAATGTTGCTTCACATATTTTTAAATACATATAATTTTATTTTTTACTCCTTATCAATATCCTAATTTTATAATATTAATTTAACAACTCTTGTATATATCTTGGAGACGACTCTAATGATTTGGATCAAATATTTTTTATATAAATTTTACGTTTATCTACATAGATGTTTTTTCTAAAAAAAAACACAATTTTTTACTATAACTTTTCCAAAAACTCCGAACGAAGCTCGGTCGCCGAAAGTACTAAAGTAATAAAAAAATTGCACTGAATATTACATTACAGTCAAACCAACCACATAACTTAAGTTTTGATATCAATAATTTTGATTCACTAATACAGTGGATAAATTGATTTTCAGTTGAGAGTTCCGAGCAATCATAGCAATTGAGGCAATCAAGAGCCGAACTGTAGAGAGCACGTCACTTCCGGTTTTCAACTTTACATTCAACTCCACTGTGAATGGAACGATTCGAAATTAAACGGAATTTGAATTTCTATTACATAACAACTTAATTTTTTCACATTTTCCAAGCTATAAACTACGCGAAAGTTTGACTATTTTATTTTTTAGTGTTAAGTGCGTTTGTGAAGCTACTACTAGTTTGGTGAAATTGAAGTAGAATTTGCTCTTCTATTTATAATCTTTTGCAAATTCAATGTAAAGATAACATTTTCGCTACTAAAATATATTTTACTAGCGACTAACCCTCACTTCGCTCGGGTTCGTCCCTAGCTTGCTTTCCAACACAAACTTTCATCGCCATCTTTACCCCCTCAAGGGATGATTTCCTGATTAAAAGTATCCTTTATCCTTTTCAGGGTCTCAAATCTATCTTCTTACCAAATTTCATCTAAATCGGTTCAGTAGATCCAGAGATTACCCCCTACAACGTCACAAACTCGCAATCTCACAAACTCACAAACTTTACCTCTTTATAATATTAGTATAGATTAACCTAACAAGATCCACACGTATACTATGTCTATGTTTGTATGTCTCGTAAATTGTCTATACAAAAATCCCTCTAATATTCCTCTTTTACTACGTAAAAAAAGAACAAGCATATAAATTATAAAAACCTTTGCAACTATAATATTAGTTAGAACGAAATATCATTTAACAAATTTTAAACTCAATTTTCGAACCCATTTCATTAATTTATTTTTCCAACGACAAACAGCGGCTTATTTATTACGCTTAAGCGTTACTCCTGGTTGTAATCTATCTGCTCTAAATTTTATAATTTCATTTAAATCGGCACAGCCGCTTCAGCTTTAAGAACATACACTCTCAACATACACACTTACGCAATTATAATAATTATATTTGATTACAGGAGCAATTCCAATGGTAACAGCGACCGTTTACTGCGCACCCGCTCTACTGCGCTATGCCGCCCTCGCCGTCTACAGCCTTGGCAGCCTCTTAGGACTTTATAAGGTAATTTTATTTTATTATAATGTACCTTTTTCATAAAATAGTGTATATGTACGATTTTATTAGAAAGAAAACACATTTATTTTAAAATTTTCTGCGCAAAAGTAGTAAAACCTAGCTAGTTTTAGCATAAATGAAGCTAATTGGGAAGTAGATACTATCTTTATTTTGTTTGGACCTTTGGTGCTCTTATAATTAGGACAAACATTAACAAGGACTAATAAAATTAAATTGCTTACTTAGTCACAGGTGAGGTTAACAAAAGCATGTTGATATTGTTCAAATTGGTGTCAACCTTTTAACAATACACCTTAGATCATAAAATATTTCGTTGTTTTCTTTTTTTACGTACCTACACCTAGACGTAATTTAAGGCAGTGGTAGCCCAGTGGTAATGCGCTCGCTTGAGAAACCGAGTGAAGCGGGTTCAAATCCCTGGTCTCACACCACTGATATTTTCATGTGCGAATCATTTCCAACATGATTACCACTTGTCTTTAACGGTGATGGAAAACATCGTGAAGAAAACTGCATGTCTGAGAGAACATAGCAAGTTTTCAAAAGACATGTGACGTCCGCCAACCCGCACTTGGCCAACGTGGTGGACTATGGCCTGATTCCCCTCGTACAGAAAGGATACCTGTGCCCAGTAGTGGGACGTTAAAAATGGCTGAATACAGACGTAATTTGAATGCCATTTAGTAAAGACTAAGAACCCGGGTGAATATTTAGAATTACTTTAAATTGGCCTATAATAGACTGATTAGATTTCTGCGGGAAAAAGCATAGAAATTTTGTTCATAAAAAAATCATAAGCTTTCTTTCCTTCATTAATATTTCATTTTTCATTAGAAGTCCTCGCGGAAAAGTCACAGGTGCAGCTTACATATTAAGTATAAGTCTAAAGAGGAAAATAATTTTTTTTTATGTATTTTACCTGGGTGACCACTCAGAAAAAGATTCGTTTTACTTCTTATCTAAAAACACGCCGACTTCAAGTCATTTAAAATCGATTATTTCACAATTAGGGTTGGTATTATTTTGGGGTGGCAATTTCAGTTCTTATCGTATCATAAACAATAATTACATCAATAAAATTAATCTCATAAATATGTAAAACATAGATCTCATTACATTGTTTGACTATGTAAATGGTCTAAAACGAAAAGTTATTACATTTAGCAAGACGAATGCTTGCATTTTACATTTTTGAAATGAAACTTCTTTAAAATCGTTGTGAAAAATGAAACGGAAATGTGACACTAAAAAGAGACAAACACATGAACATATAGGATTAAGCCGGCGAGAGAATGAGATAGAATTGCCATGTTGCCTATTAAAAATGGATATTTATTACTGAGGGATATATGTGCATAAATTAAATAAAAGCTATTATGACTAATTGTTGCCATGGTAACCGTTGTTATTTTCTGACAAATATATAATATTATATTCTTTCCGTATATGACATTCTATAAATATATGATTGTAATATGCCTAATATGCCTTATTTATTTATTTGGGATGGAATATATTACACAGGAAGTGAAAAATAATAATTTTAATTACTGAATAATATGTTATGTATATTTATTTCAAATAAAATGTAATAAATCTTTTAGACTTGGTAAAAATATGATTAAAAAAACCTTTTAATTATCTTACTCCTGATACTCTATATTTCTCTTATTCTTTCGTAGGTTACTTTACTGAAGTTTCACTTCTACCATGTGTGAATTACACAAAGACGGTTTTTTTTATTTTATTTATTTGAATGCGCTCAAATATTTTTGAATTTTATAGTTCATTTATTGAGAAAGAAAATCTAACATTACGATAATAATTATTTAAGAGCGGAGCATTCATTAATAACTTACGCCGGAGTCGCGTCCTATAACTAGTTCAATATAATGGCAAAAGAACTTTGTCAAATGAAAGGCATTGGACAAAATTTCTTCGCTTAGAATATAAATTAGACTATTTTAGGAAATTTATTTTAGGAACCTGCTATTTATATACCTACGTATTTTGTTCCTAGACAACAAGTAACTGAGATGCTCATTTGTTTAGATCTACGAGTATTTCAAATTAAAACTTTAAATCAAGTCGGCTGAAATGAAACTTAGATAATTAATACTGAGTCAGTCATCTTGAAGTAAAATTAAAGTCACATAATACAAGAGACGAACAAATAGGGCCTTTATACATTCCAGATGATAAAGAAATATTTTAGCTAGCATATAACAAACCCGAAGCGGATATCGAATGCGCACACCGGTAAATATAATATAGGACCAGGAAAATCGCTGCCACTAAAAAGATGGCACTGTCAATTGAATAGTAAAAATTAATTTACCTTAACAATATCTTTTTCACCTGTAAACAGTAGGAAGGAAGGATTTCAAAAATTCAAAACACAAATTGTAATTGTCTGTGGGATTTCAAATAAACATAGTTTTCTAAGAACGTTCGATATTTATTGTGTACTCATTCAAAATAATTATGCCAGTATGATTCAGTAACTGCACAAAATTAAAAATGGATTAGTATATAGGTCCATAGTTCCATGTACAAAGACTACGGACCATCCGTAGAGGAATATTTTACGGTAAAATATGTGATAGTAAATTAATAGTTTAAATTTTATATTAGATATTTTAACATAAACTACCTAACAGTAAAAATGAATTATTTTAGACAGATTTAGGTTAGGTTAGAACATTTCTCAATAAAATCTCCATTTTCCTAAAGAAATAATCCCTATAAGAAGATCGGAAAAGATGGGATAGTTAACGATCGCTTAATAATTTATGTGATTTCGTAGTTTACTTATCACTAGCAATTTAACCTTGCTTCGCTCGTTGTGCCCCTGGGTACTTTATAGTTAGTTACCTGACTATGGTCTATGTGTGTATTTTTCATCAAGTTTCGTCCAGCCGTTACAACGTGAAGGATTAACAGACATACAAACAAACTTTACTATTTATAACAGGATTTATATCTAACATAATTTTTTTTCTTCTCTTTTAATTAACATCTTTTTAAAGGTTTGAAAAATATAAGACAAGCGACTTACACTCGCTTCGCTCGGGTGCGTCCCTGAGTAGGTATGTTTATTTTTTTGAGCGGAACCCTTATTTTCTTAAAATAATAGCAGCCTAAGTTATTCCTTATAACATTAGCTATCTGCCAGTGAAAGTGCCGTCGAAATCAGTCAAGCCGTTTCGGAGATTAGCCGATATAAGCAGACAGACAGACAATATTTCTTGTGTTTAAGTACTGTATGTATCTGGTTTGATATGCATTTAGTAAAAAGCTATTATTTTGAAATTACAACAGACACCTCAATTTCTTTTATTTATCTGTATAGATTAGTAAAGCATCACATATGTAGGTATTCATTTAATTCTGATATATTATGATACTTCAGGCAATGCGGGCGTGGTCCCCGTGGGAGCGACGGCTGTGCTTCGCCGCGCCGTTCTGCATGCGACTGCTGTTGGCAGGCGCGAGAGCTGCGCGTCTGGGCGGTGGCGACCCACATGCTATCCTCCACGTGTTTTTACAGGTAAAACTAATTATTCAATCAAAATTTACCTAATTCAAATACTAATGGTATTTTTATAGATAAAATAGCTAATAAATCAAAATATATGTCCATACTTCATTATTTTAGGAGTATGAATATTTTTAATTGTCAATATTTAGATGTAAATTATGAAGTAATTAAGGCAGTGGTAGTTTGATCAATGTCTAATTTAACCAGTCAAGTAACTGACGAATGACATGAGGAACTCAACGATTGATATTTCATCTTTGGTTATAATTATATTACAATTTTATACTTATCTTACTTGAACTTAACTTACAAGAATCAATTCTTGTTGATACTCCCATTTAAATATAAAGTTATATAAAAATCATATCGATTGGCTATTAGTGTATCAAAACAAGCTGTCATGCTTATAATTGACTAAGCCTATAGTACAAAATCCTACATAGGTAGAGTGGTGGCATACTAACATATCTACGTCCTATCTAACATATAAGCTTGAGAATAGGGTCATCATTTACATGTTACCATATGAGAGGGTGGAGATGAAGTGGTGGACAGGGAGGAGGTAGCATGGGGCCTGGGAAAATGTAATTCAATGGGAATGGTTAGACCTCCGGTGCTCTGACTTTGCCGAATGAAACGCAACAGTAGGACTAACCTAACCTACTACTTATATATTATGATATTCTGTGAGAGGTAGTATTTCACCAGTAAAGTCTGCCTAAGTATTCATGCCTACACCTTATGTAGTATTTGTACGTATCTGCGATGCCTGCAAAAATATTTTGTTATATTAATAAATATTCCTTATTGTAATAGAAAAACAATGCAAGTAAAGATAATAATTGTGGTTTAATTTAATACAAGGATAATATGAAGTTAGTTCCATCTATATTTTATATGATGGAGACATACTAAATAAATCCTTAAGTGCGGCATAATAAACGACACTCTAAACTTTCTTTGTGTTTCCTGCGAAAAATACTTCTTTTTATAAACACACTAAGCCCTCTGTTTATATACTAACAAAACCACTTTAATTTATCGCAAAATAAAACTTATTGAATCCTAACTAAACTACAAATTATATTATAGGTAAATATACTTCATAAGTTGAACATTCGTTATTTCAATTTTGAATTGACATTTAACATATATCTATAACTTACAGTTTATAAAGAACTAGCATTGCCCGCGGTTCTGCCCGCGTTCTGATGACCAAAAACCAAATTCTTAGGTTTTACATATTAGTATACTCTTACATTGCAGTATTTGTATTTTTTCTCAGAAATGAGACATTTTCCCGCGATAAAAAGTATCCTATATGTTGACCCTACCAAATGTCATCAAAATCCCTCCAGTGGTTTTTCTGTGATGCGGTAACAGACAGGCAGACAGACTAAAATTCTAAAAACTATAGATTCGGCCTCTGTACCGATAATAATGTATAGTATTCAGCCCTTTTTAACGTCCCACTGCTGGGCACGGGCCTCCCTTACATACGAGGGGGATCAGGCCATAGTCCACCACGCTGGCCAGGTGCGGGTTGGCGGACTTCACATGTCTTTCGAAAACTTGCTAGATTCTCTCAGACATGCAAGTTTTCTCACGATGTTTTCCTTCAACGTAAGGCAAGTAGTAATCATGTTGGAAATGATTCGCACATGAAAATATCAGTGGTGCGAGACCAGGGACTTGAACCCGCTTCACTCGGTTTCTCAAGCGAGGGCATTACCACTGGGCTACCACTGGCTAATAATGTATATTTTAATAAAATTTTACAAAAAATGTTTAATATACAGAATCGGCTTAATTACAATTTTATTATATGTATAGATATAATGTATTGATGACCTTACGATGGCGACTTACTTCCTAGTTCCTATTGTTTAAAAGAAACAGGATATTATTTTTGCCACATTTTACGATTTTTAGTAACCACTCCACCTTAATTTTATGATTTATATTAATGTTAAACGGTAAACAACTTTATCTTATGACATTATGGTATTGCTCCACTGAATATTTAAATATATATTTGCATCTTTTCCTTCTGTTTTTGTTTTATGGAGTAGGCAGTTTCATCGCTGAAAAATACACATTAAATATCTATCAAAAACTTTCGCACATTATACGTATACTACAACTAATAAGATTAAGGCTGTATTATTTTAAAAATATATTTATTTCTGAATTTTGATCTAAAATTGTTAAAAATAAAATTATTAGCTACTAACATACCTATTATTAAAATACAATATCTAATCATATCTATGAGTTAAAGTGTGGCTTGCTGTGGCTTACAAATCTCATGAGGATAATAATTGTAGAAAAGTATAATAATAACTAGAATAAATTGAGTTGAATCATCTTGCAACCAAAAACCTTATTCACTCGTACAGTACATTTGGTACACAATAACAAAACAACGGTGTCATGCGCATCTTACCAAATATGTATAGGCGCAGAGTATGATGGCGTCTCGGTGACGATCTTAGCACGGTAATGTTACATACAGTATTCCATCTTCATACAAAAGGTCGGAAATCGAGTTATACCTACGCGCGTCGCGTTCGGTATACACTCGGTAGACAACCGTGCGGGGCTGCCACATCGTATAATTTGGTACGAAAATTTTATAAGCTGGTTATGCTATGTAACTTTTATAATTGGATACAAAAAAATATCGAGACATCGTATGTTTTAAAAATAAAAACTAATTAATTGAATTAAAAACAAAAATTAAAGTATTTTTAATTAAACTTTTTATCCGAATGCGCATTCCTTATACTATTAAATTTAACAATAAAGCTTTTCTTATGTCTCAGTCGAGTTGCAAATATTTTTAAATCTATTAATTAAATTTTTTTAATTAAATCTACTAATAATATTTTTTAAATAAAATATATAATATTCGAAATCACAAAACTAGAAAGAAACTCAAGAAGGTAGATGAAATTAAAATACTGGCCGGCGGGCTCTCGGGCAGCCCTGTCGCGTGGGTACGTGACGTTCGGCTGCAGGTAATTATATCAAGGACAGGCCCTAGTTGGAATACTGTATGCATTACATTACCGTGATCTTAGCTTAGTCGACGTTTTAATTATAAATATTATCTGTACAGTATTTTTTGGAAAATCTAATCGAAATAGACATTATTATCGATACAAAGTCCGAATCTAGAGTTTTAAAATTTTTTGTTTGCCTGTCTGTCTGTTACCGCATCACGAGAAAACCACTGGACAGATTTTGATGAAATTTGGTGTGATGATAGCTGGTTCGACATCATCCGGGTCAACATATAGGATACTTTTTACCGCGGGAAAATATCTCATTTCGTGGAAAAAATACAAAAACTGCAATGTAAGAGTATATAAATATATAAAACCTAAGAATTTGGTTTTTGGTCATCTGAACGCGGGCGGAGCCGCGGGCAATGCTAGTTATTTTTATAATATGATAAAATCGATGTATCATAACAACATTAGTGCACTTTTATTAAAATACTCTGCTCGATGTATAGACATATACGTTACATTACCAACTATTCTTCTTGGTCGAGTGCAATTATTCATTATACTTAAATTAAAAATGACGGAAGCCAGTAATGATGAATGAATTTGAATGGTTTTTTGTTTCGGGTTTTTAATACCATAAACTAAAGAGTTTACCCATTAAAAACTTCGCTGTTTTGAAAATCCGTAAATTAAAAAAAAAGTTTCTAGCAGTCTCCACAAAACATACAATTATCGAAATTTTTAAATATTTATTTAAAAAAATATTTAACTGTTATAGGTATTGAGGATGTTTATACAATATTTCTTATATAAAACTTTTTATAATTAACAAGTTTCAAGTCGTCCTTAGAAATTTATTTAGCTAATTCTGGCTAAACCTGAAGAGATACACATATCACAACAATATATTAGAAAATTGTATGTCTTAAAACGACCTACAAAAAAGTTTACAATAGCATGTCTATCTCCTAAGATACATAAATATAAAACAGTAACATAGCGAAATCAATGTGCGCGTTTCACGCAAAAAGTACTGAAATAATTTTAACTAAATTTTGTGTAGTGATTACTTATTACTTGGGTCAAAATTTAGGATACCATTTACTACAGGAAAATCTTTCACTCCCACTTGAAAACACAATAACTCGTTCTATAGAGTCGTTCTTAAAAATTTATATGTCTAACGCTGGCTAAACCGTATGCGAGACATGTATGTACACAATGTACTAGAAAATTGTAAGTGTAAAAAATCTGCAATAGCATAAGTCTTTCTCCTAAGAAACACTCCCAATAATTATTCATACCTATAACATACATTTGGACGGGGCCCGAGCGAAGCGAGTTTCGCTATATTTTAAATAGAAATTGAGTTATTCTCAAAATAACATAAATTTAGCTGTAATAATAATAAGCTGAGCTAGATGTAGCATCATTGTCATGGGACAACCCTTAAAAACCTCTTAGTTTTTAGTAGGTATGTATCTTTCTTTGTTTTTTTTTTCATGCACTTATTGTTAATGTAAAATTAAACAAGCAATACTTTTATTTTTATAGTTTTTACATATTTCTTTGTAATAATAATATGACTTTTGCTAGTATTGTTAACCGAGCAACAATATTTCATTTGTAAATCAAATTGTGGTACTCACGATACAGGCTATGCCTAGTGTGAGTTACCGTCAGATATAAAATATATAGTAAGCTATACTTTTTGGACAATAAATTTTTTTATTATTATCATAATAAGAAATTCAAAAAATCAGCCAAACCCATTCATTACAGCTGGGTTTCGAGGTATGTATAAACCTAATTGCACTTGTCTATCTAGCTGGTTGATATATTACCGATCTAACTTAAAAACTTTCCTGTCTGCTTTAGCATAAGATATTTTAATGAATAAAACAAAAAAACAACAAAAAATATATTTATTTTGAAATGGTTGTTTTACTATGCATTTCAATAATAAAACGTAGGTATCTTACTACCTAAAGTGTT